CCCGCAGCTCCCGGCCCGCCGCCCGGGACTTTCCCGGCTTCTCCAGCCGCCTCCCCTGCCGACGCCTCTGGGAACCGCGTCCCGAGCTTGCTCGGTCCGCAGCGCCGAGCGCGGTCCAGGCCCGGCCCCACCGAGGCCCGGCCAGGCCTGGCGCAGAGGAGGGGCGGCGCGGGACCCCCCCCCCTGGACGCCCACCTGCGGGGGGCTTGCGGCGCTTCCGGGGAGCCCTCGCAAGACCCAAAGCCCGGCGGGGGCCTCGCGCCCGGCCTGGAGCCCCCTCCCGCCCCACCCGCTCCTTTCCCGCTGCTCCCTGATATCTGGGGACGCACCATGTAGTTTAAACTTGGGCTTTCTGAAAAGCCTCTGAAGCACACAGGCAGCTTTTAACTCTTTTTGGAAAACAGGTTTGAAGGGTCGAGGTAGAAAGGGCCTAGGTAAAGGGAGGAGTGGGGCTTTGGGGGGTAATGGGGACAGACAATGCAGAGGGAAACGGGAAATGCCCACATTTCACAACGGCCTGCGGGCTTAAACGAGGCTCTGGCCTGTGTGAGGTGCAGGAGGAAGTAACCTCAGGAACTGGGTGGATGGGGGGCGGGGAAGCCCACTCTCGGAGCCTGAGCCTGCGCTGTTGCTACTTTGATGCCCGCTGGAAGGATTTGAGCCTCCTCTGTTCTCCCAAGATGGGCCATAAACCGGACTCAGCACGGAAGGAAGGGGGCAGAAAGGGACGAAGTGAGGGCCACACCAGGAATGAAAGAACAGGGTCATCACAGGGGCCAGTTGGGAGCCTGCTGGGCTGGCTGGCAGCAGCGTATTTGGCAACATACAGCTTTACTTTTGGACTTCTTGCATTTTATTTCCTGTTTGTAAAACTCTTTTGAAATTGGCCACTGTTGTAAATATATGTGATGAAATATCTAGCCCTTACTTGAATGATGCTTTGCGTGCGTTTTTCAAGACATAGAGACATGTTTATATGTTTTAAAAAGCAGGATATAATTCAGAATCCTTGCAAAAACGATGCATGGAAAATGACTGGAGGAAATACTAACATGAACTAGGTAGTGGGATTATGGATGGCAACACATTTTATGCTTTTCCTTTTCCCCTCAATGGACGTATTTTGCTTTTATAATCAGGAAGCAAAGATAACTTGTTGAAGAGAAGGACAAACCTACATCTGTCTGAGCCCAAGCCAGAGAGAGCTTGTGAGGCCTCTCGATGTCAAGTTTTCAAGGCAGTGACAATGACGCCTGTGGTCTTAGAGGGAGAATGGTAACACCCCAGGGGGCTACTTGTTTCTCCCCAGCTGGAGAAGCTTCCAAAGCTCACCTCTGCTAGCACTTAGATGGCTTCAGTTTTCCTTGTAGAAGTCCTTGGCAGAGTCCTAAAAAGGAGCATGCCCATGTTGCTGCTTGGATGGGCATCCTGCTGTCACCTCAAGCACACAATATCCCCAAAGCAAGCAACTGGCCCAACTCCAAAGCAGCTTGCCATGGAAAGGCCAGTTCTTGGTGGTTAGCGTTTTCGTTTCCCTGTTCCTGCCTGGAAGAGATTTGAAGTCCCCTATAGATGACTCAGACGTCCACAGAGATCCTAGATCTAATGAGAACAGGAAGCCAATCTTATTGGTATTTCTTGTGAAAGAAGTCTAGCATCCACTGCCCTTCGTTTGGATGCATCCCCCGCATAGCGTCATGCAATAAATACTTCGATGATTGCATATAACCTTCTACAGCTTCTCCCTTTCGGAGGCAGAATTGCTGTGAAATTACTGAAAGCTTAAATCTCAGGGGCCCTCACTTGCACAACTTCTTTCCTGGCCGTGGAAGGCACTGCCAGCCCTGTGTTCACATGGTCATATGCTTTTGTGAAATCTGCAAGGTAAGAGATTTTTAACCACAGTTGTTCCTGTCTCTTTCCTCCTTGACTTCTCCTTTAACATACTTATGTAGGGCAGTGTTGGTGTGGCTGTGGCATTTTTGAGAAATGTCTTGACATTCTATATCAACAACAAGTTGTGAAGTTAAAAGAAACTTTTCTAAACTATCAAGAATAAACATTTTAATAAATCATTCTAGAGGAAAGACTGCATTAATGTTCTAGCCTTTCTATAGAGCATATTACAAAAGGTGCTCAGATGCAGAGGCAAAGATTACAGTAAAAAAGTATTAGGTACGGACAAATATTTTTCTGGATTTTGCAATGTTAGTGGTATTCAGCGGGTTTTAAAATGTGTAACTTGTGACTTATTTTCTCATTCTAAATAAACACTTAGGGATTTAGTTTTACATTCTTTGTTTTTATTTTTTGTTTGTTTGTTTTGCTGAAAGGGCTCCCACATAGGATACAAACTTCAGCCTTACAAACCCTGAATTGCCCCATCCCTTTCCATTAATTTGCTGCCTTCCGCCCAGTTAATTGTCCCTAAATATTGTCCTCATGCTAATAATCTAGAGGTGCTTCCCCTCAACCCCCTCAGGGGGGTGGATGAGAGGTGGCAAAGAGAAAGCAACATTGGCTGATGGCCAGGGATGCTTCTACATGTGTTCTATCACTCAGTCCTCACCGTTAGGCGGGTTGACTTCCATTTCACAGATGAGGAGACCCAGGCTCAGAAAATTAACTCACTTGCCTTGTGGTGAATTTGTAGTTGTCAATTCAGCTAAGCTATAATAACTGCATTTCCTAGAATTCCCCTTCTTGCACAGTTCCGAGTTTGCATGGGTCAGGAGAGATGTTTTTGCACATATTTGGAAGATAGAAGTCAAGGTGCAGCCATATTCTTTTATGCTTGTGAGGTTGGGGCAGGGCAGGGGACACTGCAGGCCCAACATTGTGGCTTATCTGCTGGCGTCCTGGATGGCAAGGGACCGCAGCCAGGCCCAAGACTGCTCCAGCTCCTGCCAGATCCTCTGCTGCACCTCCCCTGTCTCCTGGGCCAGGTATGTGTTTTGCTCCATGATAATGGGCGCGAGCTTCGCTGCAGGACACCAGGTGCAGTCATCCAAGTTGGAGGCTTGGAGATACTGAGAGACTGATGAGGGCTCCAGCTTGTCCCTGCATCCTCCACGTTTTCTCCTCAGCCTCCTGCCCTGGGAACTTCCGGCTCCTGCCCCAGACACAGGAGCAACTGTCTCACGTAGACTGTAGCCAACTCCCATGATTACCTGAGGTCAAATTCCTAAAACACACACACACGCACGCATGCACACACACACGCACACGCACACACATACACATATTACAGCGCATTGCATCACATCACATCACATCACCTGGTGGTTCTGCTTCTCTGATCAAAACCTGACTGTACCCCCAAATCACACAGCCAATAAGTGGTGGGTGGGCTCCTGGCCAGTCCCATCTAGCTCCAAAGCCCCTCACACCCTTCTCATCTTGCCGTTTCAGTTTCCCCATAGTCGGGCCTGCTGGATTGTACTTCCCGAGGCTCCCCAACAAGGCCCTGCTATTCCATCAGCGAGTCTTTGAAGATGTAGTTCTCTGAAGGTCACGTGCGCGACTTCTCTTCCCACGCTGTCCGACCTGTCCCACCTGAGCTCTGCTCTTCCTTCCTGCACCTGTCACCCTCTTCTCCCTGCTTATAATACTCACAATCTAAATTCTATGTAAAACTCCATCTCTTGCCTGAACTTCCACTTCCTGAGAACTTTGTCACCTTCCCTGATTACCATCTTCTACTGTTTGACGCGTTGATCTATGCTGATACGGAGGCCTCAAAAGTGTAGGTGGGTGAGTGTCCCCAGCGGGTTCAAACAGGGCAGCAAGAGCTCTGAACCCAAAGTAGAACCTTGAGCATTTCTCTGTGGGGCATTTGATTTGTGACTTGGTGTCCTCTGTTCCAAGAAATGCCAGCAGCAAGGTCAGAGGGATTGGCATTTAAGTGAAAGGGCAGATTCACCTCAGGTCTCTGGAGAGTGGGTCCTGTCCTCTCACTACGTCCCTCACAGCCCCTCCTTTCATCTCCCCACAAGTGTTGCATTTCTGCTTCCCCAGTGGGGCCAGCATAAAACCTCATTCCAAAAATGCGTACCCTTTTCTTCTCTACTCCCTCCTAGGAGGGAACCCTTGCAAGAGTAACCATTACAAAACTCTACATTCTGCATTTCATTCCTCCATAAAACAGGGGGTGGATAATATCCTGAAATTTGGAGGAAGAGAGAATAATCAGAGAGAAGAGGAACATTTATTGGTTCTTCTTTTTTTTTTAAAGATTTATTGGGGAATTGGGGAAGGGGTCAGTGTAGGGGAATTGGGGAAGAGGAACATTGTGTTTTTCCAGGACCCATCAGCTCCAAGTCAATTTGTTATCCTTCGATCTTAGTTGTGGAGGGCGCAAGCTCAGCTCTAAGTCCAGTCGCTGCTTTCAATATAGTTGCGGGCGCATGTAGTCCACCATCCCATGTGGGAGTCGAACTGGCAACCTTGTTGTTAAAAGCATGCACTCTCACCAGCTCAGCTCTGGTGCAGCTCACTGGCCCGTGTGGGAATTGAACCGGCGACCCTGTTGCTCAGAGCTTGCGCTCGAACCAACTGCGCCACCTGGTCAGCCCTTATTGGTTCTTTTATCACCTTTAAAAAGAGAACATACGCCTACATTTTAGGTAAACGCCAAAGCTTTGAGCCACCCCTGATGAGTGCCCTGGCAAAGCTCCAGCAACTCCCCGGAAGAGGTGCAGGGCTGCAGGCTGCTGCCACTGGGAACTGGAAGGCAGAGCCCTTGGAACGTCTCAGGGCAGAATTTGTGACTTTAAGCCGCTTGGGTTTTGTAATTCAGAGAAACTCAATCCCTGTTTCCTGGAAAGATTAAGATTCTATCAGTATTCTTTTGTATTTAAATATGCCTTCTGAATCTTGCAGACTTACAGGAAGAACATGGCAGGTTGGAAATGAGTAGATCTGGTTTATGAGCAGACAGGCTCAGGCATGGCGGTGGCTGGTGGCTCCCTAAGTCGGCAAAGTGCAGCTAGGAGGCGTTAGAAGGGACATCTGATGAGTCACTACAAGCACCATCAGCAAACCAAGGAGTTATGCTGCCCTCGCCCTCGCCTAAAAATAGGAACCACTTACTGCGACCCCCCCCCATGTTGTTTATATTGTTCCCTCCATCCTTGTAGCAAGCCTGTGAGATGGGGTAAGGGGCTTTGTATCTTGCTGTCTCACACCGAGCACCTTTTGAATACCCTTGCCACATTTAGGGCATTTTCAGCTTAATGAGTACCCCTCCTTCCAGACAACTCCAGTTTCCAGCCTCCCTTACAGGTTGTGCCAAGCCTTCTGCTACTATGCACCCCATTTGAGCCAAAAATCCCCAAAATTTTACCTCCAAGAACCACCTGGAGTTCCCCTCAGACCCCAATTCTTCAAGAATTTTTCATGAGGGAAATCAGCCCCATATAATAAAAGGAATGTTATGTTACATATCCTAAAACTTAAAAACATATATTATTCTAACTCCCTTTGCAAACATATATATGAATATCCTT